CCCCTGGGGAAAATTGAAGGTGGGTGCACTTACACCCCCGAATTGCCCAGGGCGGGCGGGGGATGTGGGGGGTTGGGAGCTCAACACATCTTGAAGCTGCCAAGGTTGAGAAACGCTGGTATAAATATATCTCCTGGAGAAAAAGAGAAAGAAGAAGAGGCAAAATAAACTGCAAAGAAAAGATACAGCTGAATTTAACAGAGCAGTTTCCTCTCCACTCATTCTTCAAGATCTGTGCTACTACAGGAACGAGCCATAAATAAAATACCCTATAGCACTGAGGAGTACAAAATAGATGGGGGGAAAAAATCTCAAGTATTCAGGAAAGCCCTCTTTTTTACTGCTTTGCCCTGGAAAAGAAGGGCATCAAGTTCATAAATCTCCATACTGTTCTTCCTGGGATTATTATAACTGGCAAGGGAGGTGGGGGAAGTGGAGAGAGAGAGAAAAACTGTGCAGAAAACTCAAATTAAGCACCTCCCTCCTTGAAGCAATGTCCATGCATCTGTGAATATGCTCAGGCGGAGAGGGGATATTCTCAGAAAGAATCAAAAGCCCCAAACACCTGGAATAAAATCAAAGAAATTAAGAAAGCGGTTTTTGTTTGTTTAGGTTCCTCTTACGCATAAGGAAGAGGGAGAATAAAAAGGGAAGAAAGCAAGTAATCTGAGTAATGTAGAAAGGCAAGGCCGCGTCCAACCAGATGCATGAACACACATCCACACACCCACGCAGAAAACTAACCTTATCCATGGAGCCAAACTTGCCCAGCAAGACAGATGGGTTAGCCCAGCTACACAATGAAGAAGCCAAACTCCAGCCACGTCTCCACCTCTTCCTTGCTCCTCCCATCACCCCATATGCAAGCCTCTACTGACCCACTTTAGCAAGCTTCTTTGCCTCTCATATCTATGGGGGGAGGGAAGACGGGATGAAAGAGATGGAGGGAGGGAGGGAGGGAAGGCAGAATCCCATCCTGAAGTTTGCCAGTCCAGACACACAGAGAGAATATCAGCCTTAGCACAGGAAGAGAAGTCACAATTAAAATCAGCTAGCCATGTTCATTCAGAAAGGCCAGGGAAATTGTTTTGTTGTAAACTGCCCAGAGTCCCTCCTTGTGGGGGAGTTGGGCAGTGATAAGAATTTGACATATAAATAAATAAAATATAAATATATTTCTACCCAAATCAGCCAAGTGAAATGAGGCATTTCATGTACACAGGACCCCAGCTCAATCCACCAAGGAGACAGGCCATAGTGTCTGGCAAGCCAACTCTACAGTGTTTGCAACGTAAGGAAAAAAGGGGCAGAGCTTTGATCTCACCCCCACAAATGCCATCTTGACATTCTGACCTCCCCTCACACATGCACACACCCAGGAGCTGCATTTCACATGAGAATGCTGAAAAGGTGGCTGAGATGCTAGACACTGTGGGAAAAAAACTGGGTTAAACACCAGAACAGAGAATGCATAGATTTAACTCCCTGGCTGGTTTCTACCCTAAAAATGGAGTTTAGCGGTTTGTGGTTCAATACACTGGGGAACCCAGCTATTGCCTGTTGTATGAAACTGGCCATCCCCTTACACCCTAAGATAATTTGTGGACTGCATGTTAAGTGTGGCTCGGTAATCTCGGTTTAAGAAAAAGTAAGGTCTCCTTTGAGTTGACCCTGACTCTTAGTGGCTTCACAATCATGTCCATGAGGTTTCCTTGACAGGGGGTTTTGCTATTCCCTTCACAGAATCACAGGGTTGGAAGGGACTTTGGAGGTCTCCTAGTCTAACCCCCTGCCCTGTGCAGGAATCCTTATACTATTCTGGACAAATAACTGTCCAGTCTTTTCTTGAAAACCTCCAATGATGGAGCACCCTGTCTGCCAAAAGGTTTTTCTGACTTTAATTATATTTATTATATTGATTTATATAGCCACCCATCTTACCAGCTGCAACCCTGGGCAATGAACATATAAAAACCAACAGCAAAATAGCAAACAAAAAAAAAAACCCAAACAAAAGAATACAGTAAGAACATAATGCTGCTTGAGGACAATCTAACCAAATCCATATAGCAACAGTTAGGCTAAAAAAAAATCACATTCTGAAGTTCCCCCCTCCAAATACTAATCAGGTTGTATCCTACTTAGCTTCCAAACTGCAAGATCACCAAGGTATTACAACCTACCCAGGCATATTTTGGGAAACCATCTACTGAAGGACCTTTGGATCAGCTGCTTTCATTCAGCAGAGCCTACCTCATTATTGCACATCTCCAAGGGGGCAGGGAGATTGGGACAAAATTTGCAGGATAGGAAAAAAGTGTCATACGCATCAGAGATAGGATGAAATGGCCAGAGAGAGGATTAGTAAGGTATTACTGTCTTAGAAAACTTACTCTTCCAACTATTCCTTTTCCCCAACATTTTGTCTAACCAAAGTCAATCAGCACTATGCTTTATTGGCCTATTTTAAAAGAGCCTTTCCCTTAAGGTAGTGATGGACTGATTTATCAGATGGACAAATAGCTTAACAAATTTGAGGAGAGCAAGTACAGTCATGCTAATCAAGGAAAATCTATAAAGGTGGCACTTTTTAAAAAAAATTTGCCAACTCTAATTTAAAACTAAAAACTAACCAAAACGTGTACAGTTTGCATGCATTTCCTGACTCAAAACAAGCAGAAAATTATATTACCAGTATTTGGAAATTACATCACCAAAATTCTACAGACTGGCTGAAGAGCATTCTGGGGGCTTATTGTAGCACAAATGAGCCAGGATCTGCTGCCCTTCCTGCTTCAAGCCGTGGGGTTTTTCTCTACTTAAACATACAGTTCTTGCATGTGGCTAGGTATAAATTTTGGCTACGTAAGTCATGGAAGAGGGAAGATGCAAAGTATTTCATTATAGAGCCTCTGCTTTGAAAGCTGACTATCAGCAATAAAACTGGTTCCTGTGAAGCTTAAAGATTAAAAAAAAAAACCTAGCAGGCTTCACTAGCTAGAATTTCCATGAAAAGTCTAGCTGCAACTTGACGCTGCATGCAAAATTGTCTCCAATTTTCCTTTACAAATTAAGGAGATCCTAAGCAAGAACTTCAAAAGGATAATGCAAAAGGATGGGTTGGCGTGCAAAAGAGAGTAATTATATCGGGGTAGATAATGTATGATGATCGAGTACTGAGCATTTCTCACCAAAGGAGGCTGGGACTCATCCTTCAGGCTTGTAGATGGAATATAAAAGAGAGTGGTTTTGAACCCATTACCCTTACATTCCTTAATTCGTTTTCTCTGATAGTGGTTAAGTAAGAACCAAAGTATGCAGAAGACCCTGGTTACATGACACCCCAGAAAGGAAATTAACGGGACCCAAAACTCAGGATTGCTTTGAAACTAGAATATTACACTACCATCCATGATTGTAAAACTTTTCAAGGACTATGGTTAAAAAATGGTTGCCTAACCAGAAAACCAATGCCAGTCATTTAACCAAAACTACCAACCTGCCAAAGTGCCCACTTCACTAAAGATCTGGAACAGCATATTCAGGCTTATATTTGGTGGCTTGATACGCATGTTAGACTGGAAGCAGGTATTTCGATTTCTCTGTAAATGCTGAAGGATGACTTCTGGGGACCCTACCTTGAGGACAACACACACACAGGTCATGCTGACCTCCCAGAGATTCCTTCCACTTATGGAACCATCAGTTACCATATCAAATACATAAAAGCATGGCTGAATCAACAAAGGCTGAATCAACAAACAAACAGAGTCTGGCATCCTGTTTCCAAGAGGGGTGAGATGCCTTCAGAATTCCCAGAGAAGCCAACATCCTCCTCCCTTATTGGCATCAGGTATTACTCAGAGATTGCTAAATGAAATCTCCACGCTGAATGTGCCTAACACCTACTGACTGATTACCTGCCTTTTGGGAATCAACTGAATCCCATTTCAAAACTTTTTACGTTTTTAGCAGCAAAAAGTCAATATATACTGTATAAAAAACTTATTCCATTTAAAAGCAATTTTCCCTAAACCAGGCCCTCCAGACCACCAGACTAGGGAAAGTTTTGAGTTTTTTAAAACGTCCACTTGGTCTATTTTACTGGATGATCAATGCTTGTACAAAGCTTTTTTTCTTTTTTCTTATCACCAGAAAGCACCCTTCCATCCCTATGATTCTATGAAATATACTTCTCCTTGGGGAACTACTTACCGGAGTGAGTAGCTCTGGGGTGGAAATGGGGGAACAATCACCGTTCAGCTTAATCCCACTTCCTAAATCGAAATCACAGATTTTCACCGGGGAAACCTGGTGTTGCAGACAAATGGGGGCAAGGGGAGGGGTTGAGAGGGAAAGAAAGGTCATCTCTTTTGGAAGAAAAACCCATGCTAATTAGAATTTAAAATTCTATCATAAATTCAAACCCTCCTTGTTATGCACAAACAACAGTCCAAGTTTATACTTTATTAGCCCACTTATCACTACATCTTCCTGCATCAGCAAGTTCCTGGGATCTATCTTGCAGCACGTGACCCCATCAGAGACTGGGAACTAACCAAGGAGCAATTAAACCAGTGCTTACCTGATTTGAACTCTCACAGAGAATATTTTCTGGTTTTAAATCTCTATGTGCTATTCCTGTAATAAAAGAAAGAAAGAAGCTTAACATTAGCAGTTAATACTTTCTGCTTTTGACTGGAAGAACATGACAGAGCAGCTGCACGAGTGGAAAAGAGAGAACTGAAATGCAGAAAAGTTGAGTCAAGCTGTGTAATCGGATCCTGCTGAAAGAAGCCACAAGTCCATCTAACCAAGCATCCTGCTTCAAACTGTGGTCAGCCAGATGTTTCTAAAGAAGTACACACCCTTAACAGCTAGTGCTTACAGTGGCCAGAAGGATCCTGTCCCTTCTGTTTTATCCCAGATCTCTTATCTGCTGGATTTAGAAAGCTACTTAGGAAGCAAAGCGTATGTTTAATTCAAAGACCTTCCATCTGTCTCTTCCTTGCATGAAACTGAATACTCCAACAGCTCTTTTCTTGGCGTGGCTCTAGCATTTGTCATTCAAGACAAGCATGGAGGCTTCACTCACAAGCTTAGGTCACAGCCACCAACACAGGTGTTATTAAAAATATTTATATCCCACCTTTTCAGCGACAACAACACCTAATGCAGTTCGCTATCAGCGTAACTTAAAAAAACACACATCTTAAAAACAGATGATTTGAGATATCAACATTAAGATCAGCTGATATTGAAATAAATCAATAAAGATCAGCTCATTAAAATAAACAGAAAAACCCAAAACAACAGCATAGGCAAATGCTGTCAGGGAAAGGGGCCAAGTCAAATTCTGGGGACAGGAATCTCCAAATTCAGGAACCAGCCTAGAGAATGGCCACTTCCACATCTCCATCAGCTGAAGGTCTAACAGTAATAGTAGCCAAGATATCTATTGACAACTTGGTTATGTGGACAGACCAAGTTAGAAGAAAATGGTCCTTCAACTTCCTGGTCCTAAATCATGGTCTCTGCAATCTGGTCCACTTTGAAAGCCATCTAAGCTGATGGCCCTCAGCATATCTTGTGAAAAGGAGTTCTGTTAAGTCTGCTTCATGCAAGGAAATCTCCCTACCCAAGTATTCAACCAGGTGCCTCTACATTTTTCCAAGTAACTCTGCTTCTCAACTGCTAGTATTAAGGTAAAAAGTTAACAACTCCTTAACAAGTATCAATTATATTCTGTAGCAACCCTATAAGGTTGGGTTTCATTGCATATCTGCAGATATTTCCCCAAATAAAGCATATATATATACACATAGGATAAGAGAAGAAGAAAAGGGAAATTATAGGGAAGTTCCCAGATCAGGCCTCAGCAGATTCCTGGGCATCACACAACTTGCTGGAATGCAGTATGAAAAGGATGAGGACTGGCTAATGCAGATAGCTTAAGATTTACTGTGGCAGTGATATATGCTTAGTGCCGTGTTTCTCAACCTCAGTAGCTTGAAGATGTATGGATTTCAACTCCCTGAATTCCCCAGCCACCATACTTGGTTGAGAGACGCTGGCTTAGTGGGTTGCAAACAAGCAACAGGAGAAGAACTCAAGTTGCACAGTGTGCTTTGGGAAAACCAAAAGATAATTTGCCCCCAGCACTCATTTTTACCCACCTTTATTGTGCAAGAAATTAAGGGCACTGGCTATGTCGTGCACCACCATGCTGGCCTCTAGCTCATTGAAATGGCGTCGACGATGGATGTGGGTTAAGATGGAGCCTGAAAAGATAAATTGACGGGCCAAATTACACCATGGACCAAAGACCTAATGCTCTTTGCTTACAGATGTAGATTATATAAGGACAATTATAATTTTTTTTTTACTTGTACGCTGCCTATACAGTCGCTTATACAGAGAGATGGGCAGTGTATAAATTTGATGAAATAAATAAAATTACAATATGTACAATTTATGTTTTTTTCCTCATTACTTAAATTGGAAAAAAATTGGAACCTTAAAAAAAAAAAAAGGAACCTCCCCTACCTACAAAACATTCATTTTGCCAGCAACTCACCTCCTCTCATCTTCTCAAACACGAGGTAGAACCGGTCCTCTTCCTCAAAGAATTCTATCAGCTCCAGGATGTTCCTGAAGAAGAGATTGTGGGGGGAGGCATATTTACGGATAAGAAAAGACAGGTAAGAAAAAGAAATTAAACCCATTTCATTTTCATTCAAAAACCAATCCTGATTATCAACTTCCTATTTTTCCCAGGAGCAAGCAAAACACCTCTAAACAGCGACAATGCAGAGCATGAAGCCCATACGTTCCTCTGCCTGGTATTCAGAGGTAGCGTGCCCCTAAATATGGCAGTACTAGTAAGATATCAGCTATTAGCTGACAGATGTCTTCTCTGTCTCAATTTAGCTAATGTTTTTTTAGCTACATTAAAACAGTGGCCAAGCTGTTGATCACCCTCCTACAACTATGAAAACTGAAGTTAGTCACACCAAAGCTGGGTTCATACAACTGACTAAACTCTAGACCAAGGTCAGCAAAGCACTGTTCATTCATTTAACATGCTTTACTCAAAGAAATGAACTTCATTAAAGTTTCATGTGATGGCCAAATTCGTCTGATACTTGAAAGCAATGGTCAGGCTCCTTCAACCTGCAGGATCTCAAACGCAAACACCTCCTCTGGTACATCTCCACGTGAAGGAGAGGCCGGTGGCTGAGTAGAAAGCAGCAGTCTGTCACAGAGATGGACAGATGGGGCCCTCCAGATCCTGGAGTAGAACCATTTATCCCTTAGCACCTACTATGCTGACTGGAGAACGTTAATCAAGTCTTTCTGGAAAACCCCATTTTTGGAGGCAATGAGTTCTCCTTCAATGCCAGAAATTCAAAACCTTCACCAACAAGCTCTGGGCCCAATTCAAAGATGATCAGACTTGTTCTGGAGCTGTACCACTTTGGAACGTCTTGTGGGAGATTAGAGTCCATACAGAAGAACTTCCTCACATTTAGAAAACAAGCTTATCAGGGGTGTAGCCTTAACCACCTCACTGACCTGCTACTTTTCAATGTGTGGGGTGGTGGCGGCGGCGGTCTTCTTTTGCACGGGGAGATTATCTGATTACCACAGTCAGGATTAATACAACCAGGACACAACCAAGATACAGCAAAAATCAAGCTTAAAACTCTACTGTTTAAGCCCTTGGCTCGCCTTGGCCCAGTACCTATGTCCTTGGCACTGATACAGCATTTCCACCTCTCGGAATACCCGATTTCGGATGTGTCCAAGACGCTTCTCAATTATCTTTAAAAGAAAAAAAAACATGGAAGTGGGTATAGTTACAACAACGTTGAGCTGAAGCGAATATTCTGAGCAGATATGTTGCATTCAAGGGTTGAGTAATGATTTTTGATGCCAAGCTCATCTTCAACTCATGCACGCTTCTCCAACTGCTGTCGAATCTTCCCTGGGATGGGAAGGGCTGATCTGAAGTAATATTTCATGGGGAAGGAGGTGTCAACTACTGTGCTCTATGATGTTGTATGAAACATGAGCAAAGTACAACACACTCTGGAGATCATGTTTATGGAGCACTGCAAGGCAGCGCTGAAGTTAACACAAGCTACAATCTCATAAACAAACTCCCAGGACTCTAGAAAACCGTACACGCAGTTTTCCCAAGTGTTAGTTCTTCATACGCAAAGACAAACAGGGTGTTCCTTTAATCGATTTTAGACAGAATGAAGAAAAGGCCATTCCTTCAACTCATACCGAACCGGCAATTTAAAAAGCCCAAACACGTCTGCTTACTGTAAACAGCAGTGTTTTTTCTCAACCCTGGCAGCTTTCAGATGTGTGGATTTCAACTCCCAGAATTCTCCAGCCAGCAAGGGTGGCTGGGGAATTCTGGGAGTTGAAGTCCACACATCTGAAAGCTGCCAAGGTTGAGAAAAAACACTGCTGGACTCAGTTGAATATTCCTTTTCACAAAAAGTTTCCCAGCATCTCAAACACTAACATGACAGGGTGGGTTAAACCCTTCCCCACCAGTGACCGTTTCTCTCCTCTGCAATTCTCAAGCCCTCTTTTCTCCCCGTCCCCTGCTTCCTCAACCTCCACCCCCACCACCCCACCTCCCTTTCTAATCCCTTTAGTTTCTTCCAATCTGCAGAACAAATTCAGCCTTTTGACTCAGAATTGCAAGATCCCACCTGGGAAACAGTCATCAAGACAGTTTGGGGGAGCAGACGTGCACCTGGCAAGCCTCTATGCTCAACCACACTTGGACAATAACAACAGAGTAACTCCGCTGACTTATTCAGAAGCAAAGGGAGGGAAGGGAGTCTCCAGCTGTTCTCTGGGCAGCTGATTTCTTTCTAACTTTCTTTCTTTGACTAAGAGAGTTCAGGATAGTCCCAGGACTTTTCACAAGCCTATTCCTTTGAAGCTGCAGCAACATGCAAACCGTTGGATATGAAATTGAAGAGCGAAAGGGTGGAAAATGGGATTATTTATGGGGCCCCACACTTCCCTGCTCCCCAAGTTGCCACTTTACAGCCTGAGATGAATGAAAGAACTGTTGTTTCTTGCCTTCTGCCAACTTTAAAAAACACACACACACAACCATGCACCCCAGAGAGACGTGAATTCAGCATGCAGCAGCTGTTCTCCTCCCTCTGCCCCGGGAGGTTTTAACATCACCACCCCTTGGCTCCCCTCTCCATCGCCAGTTTTACAACTGTCCTCTTCTCCCTTCCCCAGAGCCATGGCATCTGCACAACACAAACACACATAAAAGCCGGTGCCAGGTTCTCCCTGTCCCATTTTAGATCATCTGCGTCACTGTTCTTGCCTTCATGCAAGCTGGCAAGAGGGATTAACAAAAAAAAAAAAAAAAGCTGGGGGAGAAACGGGCTTGGGAAGAGAAAAGGTCAAGCTGGGAGATACAGCTGAGAAAGACGCCTCTAAGGGAAATTTTTAACTGAAAACTAGTTGCCTCTTGGCAGAGAACTGTTGCAGGGGAATTACAGGGGGGAAATGATTTTTTTTTTTTAAATCAAGTCTTCTATTTACTTAACAATTGACATAAAGAGATTAAGCCCCCCCATATAGTTAGGGAGGAAATCTACACTGAATTGAACTATAAGCATCTTGGACTGCAGATGTAAATCACAGGATCCTACAGCTGGAAGGAGTCATATCATATTCAATTTCCCTGCTCAGAAGAAGAATAAAAGTATCCCAAACAGATGGGTAGACATACCCAACCCAGGGAAGCTCACTGCCTTTCTGGGGAACTGTTTCCACTGGAAACCTGTCTTTATCTGTCATATAAATTTGAAAAATAAATTAATAAATGGTTAAATAGCTTTTTTCCCCTAATGTTCATACATTCCTCTGTTGGGACCATCACTTGCCATACAGGTGTATTTGTAGTCTAAACACTTCTGGAGGATGCTCACCTGGGGAAAGGGACCAAGGTTCAACAAACTGCCAGCTTTACACCACAAAGGGTTCTGCCATCATCTGTCTGTTAGTCTGGCATCAACGGTGACATCCTGCTTGTTCCCACTTGTGCTTGACTAACTACAGCTATCCATTTAGGAATTCAAGAGCAGGCTTGATTTTATGTCAACTTCTTATACAGAAGAGCCATAGGGCAGTTTTCCACAAGCAGGTTTAGAAAAAACAAAATAAAAATGGAGAGGCAGAGGGGAAGAAGAGACTACACAATCTTAACAACTTTTTGCAAGACCAAGAGTACAGACATTCTGTTTATTTTAGGCAGCAGTATGTGTTTCAAAAGAAGCTGGAAACAGAAGAGCTGTTTCATTATCATTAATCATGCAGTTATGTGGCTGGCATGTTATTAGAGGAACTAACCAGCTGATGCATAAAGTAAATCTCTCTTGCATAGAAATGTATTATTATATTTATATCTGCCTAATGCTTGAACAGCTTCAATAAATACAAATAATAAATATACTCTGGAAGGGATAATCATCCTTTATATTCCAGATCAAGGAATATATATCCTGATGCCTTAGCAGTGCCAATTAGAAGCCACATTTCCAGCAGTTAGTGCTAATTATTAAAAAGAAACCTCTACTAACTCTACTAGCTGAAAAAGGTGAATGTCCTTCTGAAAGTAAGAAGCTAGCATACCAGAGAAAGAACTAAGCTAGCTTTCTATTTGCAAATATTTTTTTTCACAATTCAGCTGAGCATTCCAAAGTGACTTTCGCTACACACTTACATAAAATACTGAAATATTTTCTACCACTACACTGTCATCAAATATTTAAGTAACTCAATCAAGGTTTGAAGAAGGAAGCCTCTGATATATAGCAGGACAGTTAATCTATCATTTCAGAGAATTACTATCTTTACTAAACCTACTTTACAAGCATGAAAAGTACAACCAGTCACTCCACAGAGAGATGGGCGGTGACAAATTTGAAATATAATAAATAAATAAACCTCTTTGGCATATTCTCAACAATCCTGTAAGGTAGGAAAGATTAGCATACACCAACAGATCAAAACCAACTATCTCCCAAGTCCAACAGTATGATTAAAGACTGGTGCACATTTTTGCTTGCATCAGCCAAAGCCTCCAAACAAGCTGTAGATATGACATAGATGCAGGCAGACTGGAACTAGAGTTTTATTTACAGAGATAGATTAAGGTTAAGAGCCCAAGACTAACAAGATCAAAACAAATTGCCTAGTGCTTGGAAGCTAGTTAGGAATCCCTGCTCCAGCCTACAATCAAAATTAACTTTCTTGCAAAGCCACAACTTCGCCACAGGTTTTGCAGCACCTCAGCATTTTCCTCAAACAGTTTTGGGTAGATTAGAGGGGACAGGCTGTAAATAGCAGAACCACTGAGACCAAGCAGGAATCTTGATGTTGCCCAATCCCCAAGACACTTTCTCCAATGCTTGAGCAATACAAAGCATATCTCGAAAACACATCTGCTGACTTTTTCTCTTGTAATGCATCAGGATTCCATTACTGCAGAAGACCAAAGTTTGGATATTCCCCTCCATGCACAAATTTTAGCTCAACCCTTTTGGCTTCAGTGTACAGGTAAACCTCACTTAACAACCACAACAGGGACCGGAAAATTGGTCATTAAGTGGGGCAGTCGTTAAGCAAATCACGTGGTCGTTAAGCGAATCCAGCTTCCTCAATGGACTTTTTTTGCCAGAATTCTTAACAATCGTGATTCACTTAATGACTGTGATTTGCTTAATGACCATGGTGATTTGCTTAACAACCGTCATAAAAAAGATTGCAAATCGCAATGACGTGATCACAGGGGGGGTGCAAGAGTTTGCAACAGTTGCCGAACCATCGTTAAATAAATGGTCATTAAGCAAGGACTATCTGTATTGGAAGCAACAGCCCTTATTTCCTGAATCCAATAAGAATTCCCTTTCCTCAGAGAAGCCACCATGACCAAGGATTCATACCTTCACTGCATACTCCTTATTAGTAATGAGGTTAACACAGGCCTGGACTTTTGCATGCGCTCCTTCTCCGAGGACCTCTTCTTGGAGCTGGTAAACATCTGAACACGGTGGCAGAAAGACGAGGACAGGGAGAGAAAGCATATCCCAAAATGAGTCTTCCACAGATTTCAGACAGCACCCCCACTGATTTGGGGGAAAACTCACAAAAGGCCAAAAATTCAAGGGTAACAATTTCAGAGCCCACCCACATCTAAGTTCTTCCAGTTTCCAGTATTCATTGTTTCAAAGACACTGTTTCACTCTAGTCAAAAAGTTTCTAAACAACACCTCTAATAGGATCAGAGCTGGAATCAGAGCCATCAAGTCCAACCCTCTGCTCCATGCAAGAATCCAAACAAAAGCATCCTCCACCGATTACTCTCCAGTCTCTGTTTAAAGACATCCAGGGAAGTAACTGGTTCCACTGTCAAGCTACTCTGTTGGGAAGCTTTAGTCTTATACTCAACCAAAAGCAATCAATCAACCAATCAATTTTATTTCAGTCATAGACCAACATACTCAATCAAAATCATCCTCCCTATAACTGGAACTGTCTTCCATTATTCTGTCTTCCACCCTCTGCCTGGCAAAGAACGTCTGTATCTTCTTTCAAGTATCTGGAGAATGCTACCATACAGCTCTTTGGTCTTCTCTTTTCAAGGCCTTCCATATCTTGTCTCAGGGCTTGTGTTTCGCTCATCTAGGCTGCCCTTCTACGAACCTGCTTTAGGTTCATCGCTGGACACAATTCGCCAGATGGGGTCTGGCTGTATAAACAACAGTGTCAGAAGCCAACCACATCCAGTCGTTTCTCCCATGAGTAGGCACAGCTAACAAACTACAGACACCTCTGTCCGCAGTTTGTGTAGCATACTGCATGAGTGCAATCTTGATGCAAAATTGAAAAAGTGTGTGAACTGAAGATAACAAAACCTAATAAAGAACCCTCATCCTAAGCCTTTGCCAGGTAGTATACCGCCTAGCAGATGAGTTGAGGGCAACTGACTGACTCGTTGTGGGTCTCTATTTTAGAGACCCTGGCATAGTCTAGTGTACACACGCTTGGGATAAAACTAAGCGTCAGTTGCATTTACAGCATGCTGACCAAAATGTGCCAAACCTAAGAAATGTATAAATATAAAAATGACAGTTTACAGGTAGTCCTCGTTTAGTGACCATCTGCAGTTACGATCGTGATGAAAAAGTAAATTTGCGACCAATCCTTACATTTACAACCTTCACAGGTCTATAAAGCAAAGGAAAGCTGAAGGAAGATTGTAAGCAGAGTCATGGTTTCACTTAGTGATCACTTTGCTTAATGACCGAGTTGCCAGTCCCAACTGTGGTTGCTATATGAGGACTATCTGTATTGCATGTTTGGTGATTCAGAGAAAGCGTATGATAAAGTGAATAGGCTTGAACTATGGAGTGTTTTGCACAAACATGAAGGTTGGTTGCTGATCAGTATATGATGGAAATCAAGAATGAATGACAAACAGCAGGATGCTTAGCAAATGATTCAACACCAAGGAAGGACTAAGACAAAGGTGTGTCATGTCCCTTTGCTTGTTTAATGTCTTTATGTACAAGTGCTTGTGGTGATGTTAAATGTTGACTGGTTGGGGATGTTGTGTTGTCTGAGAACATGAATGATTTGCTAAAAATGTTACCCTTGCATGATGCAACAAGAAGGAAGGAATATCAATGTATCAAAATGTCAAATGAAGTTATATATAAATTGTAAAAAAACAAACTCAAGCAGATGAATTTGTGCTGCTTAGCAGAAAGTTTATTAAAGATGGGGACGCTGGCGGAATTTAAGCACTCAAAACGTTGGTAGAAAGGTTGTGGGCAGTTTGTAGCCTGGAGCAAGGAACAAATCTTTGTCAAACCAAGCAAAAAGGGCCGAGTTCACATTGTCACATACAAGTAAGGTATGTCATAGGAGAAACATAAAAATAAGCTGAATGCCGTGGGAATGGGTTATCAAGCGTGTGTACTAAAACACAGCAGAGAAAGGGTCAAGGATGAGTCAGTTCCGAATTAATATGGATTGAATACAAAAGCGAGTGACCGCTAGAAAGTACACTGACATCAGAGAGATAATGAATGAGAACTGAATGGCAAAAACAAATACACAAAGAAAGAGTGAATGGGTTGAAAGAAAGAGGAGGATGCAGGAAGTTGTGGCTGGATGGTGCCGAGAAGACAAGAGAGTGAAGAATGCAAGGTATGAAGTGATGGAACCAGGATGGTCTACAAGTATAGCAAGACAGAAAGGGATCTAGTGGATGACCTTGGTATACACTAGTTTTATATATGTTTCCTTTTCTTTTTCTCAGTTCCTGCCTTTAAGTTTACTATTACTATTAAGGCTTACTATTTCTTCATCTTTTCTGTACTTTGCATTATCTTGTTTACTCCAAAAGGGAACAGTGTGATGGGTATGTATGTAACCAGATATGGAAATTAGGAGCACAATCTTGCTTGTCTGCAGTCAAACAAGTTCAGTAAGAATGTGAGGAAGATCCATAAGGATTTTCCCAGTTAGCTTACTGAAAAAACAGGTTAGAATCTTTTCAGTTCTTTTGGTTGAATTTTAAATTAACCCAGTTTCTTTTCTGGCCCATGAATAGATTTCATCATTATGCCAGTTGCCAGTTCCTCCTTTTAGTTTCTTTTTGTCTGGTTTATTTAGAACAATGCCTGTGTGTTTTAGTCTCTGCACAGTTTTGGAAATTAGTATATAAAAACACTTACGAACTTCCCCTTTTACTACAGGAATTGAGACAATATCCCCATAGGTCTGTGAGCTTAAAGTAAAATATTTTCACCATAAGAGGTACAGAGTCATGGGGAAAAGGCACATTTTCCTTTTCCTGGAAACTTAACAATGTGGACTAATGACTTGGCTATGTCTGCCTCACCTTCAAACCTCCCTGAAAAACTGTCCGTGGCTCTACAGCGTTTTTTCTTCTTGTTTCTTTTCTTGGCATTGGGGATGTCGATGGGCTGACTCGAAGGCATATCTGTCAAGAAATATTGCATTTTTAAAGAAAGAAGAAAAAAAAAAAGAAGCATCACAATAAAGATAACATTTGAACCCAGAAGCGATCAACATGCAACAATTACAGGCAAGCCAGATCTTGAAGCCAACCTTACATTTTTGCCCATAAACTAGGACATGGGGAGGAGCTCCTTTTCCAATTTGGCATTTCTCATAGTTGCAGAAAGGAGAAGAACCCCCAGAGAGTGCAGCCTTAAGATCATTTATAAGGATCTTAAGTCACACATGGTTAGTCCCCCAAGCGTGCTGGATTTTCAAGGGGTTAAAACATGTCCAAAGATTATGCGATGTCAATTTTTAGCAGCATTCACCACTGGGCCAAAGGGAAGCCCTTCTGAATCAGATCAGATGTCCATATGATCCAGTACTCCAGTTCCCAATAGCCAGATTCCCCAATCCCACCCCAACAATTGGGGGAGGAACACAGGGTATGAAGTAAGCCTTCCCCCACTTGTCCCCAACTCCAGGGGGCTAGAAGCAACACGCTGTGACTATACCACGATGATCTGACTTATCCTCAATGAATTAGACTCACCTTGGAATGCAAAAAACAGGTAGAGGACCCCAGTTCTTTCATGAGATTTTTCATGGGGAACACGGACTTGGGCTTTTTAGGGCTGATGTTTTTATTTTGTTTGCCACCTAGAGTTTTCACGGGACAACTGGGTGGCCCTATGAATTTGACAAATACGTAAATTCATTCCTAACATCCCTTTATTCTGTCCCTCCTATTGCTTTTTCAAAGACAAAAACTGGAGCTCACCGGGCCGGGAGGAACATTCGAAATTGAAGACAGACTCCAGGTGATTGGACTGAGAGAATTCCAGGTCAAATGGATTCTGGCCCTAGTGAGAGGGGAGAAAGAAAAAACGAAAAAGGTGATATCAATGCTGGATGATTTTTAAAATAGAGGTAGAGGAACAGGCACTCTCTCCTACAGGGTTTTCTTTCTAAAAGCAGTTTGATCAGAAGCAAATACAGTTGCTGGAAAGGGGCAAGCTTAGCTGCTGTCAATCCCCATTATGGTTTTTCAAGGTCGCCAGCAATGCTCTCTTGACAATTCTGGCATATTGAACTTGACTCTAAACAGTTACTTGCCTTGTTATGAACATCTAATAAAGACCTGCAGCTGATCTTTGTATATTTAAAGGACATTAAGATAAGACACAACCCGTGAAAAAAATTATTTCTTCTAACAGGCATGCATAGGCTAGGCCACTATTGTGTATGTTTCTATTACTTCACTGCAGGAGGAAGAGAATACTTTCATTTTTCTGAAAATCATTCTGCATATCTTTCTGTTTATGGTCTTAACATTACCTAGTGAAGCCCTCTTCCAGGTTCCCCAACAAAGGAGGTACACTACAAAGTGGGGAGAGCCTTTTCCATGGTGGCACCCCATTTACAGAATGCCCTCCCCAGAGGGGCTAGACTGGCAAGTCAGTTAGCATCAGTTTAGTGCCAGGCAAAGACCTTTCTATTTTCCCAGGTTTTTTAATTGGCTTTTCGTGGTATTTTAATCCTTAGTTTTTCTATGACTGATGCGCTGCTGACTACTTTATATGGTGTTTTTATTTCATATTTATTTTATAGCACATGCTTTTATTCAGATTGTATTCTTTAATGTATTTAATTGTAAACCATCCACAGAATTTTAACTATTGGGCAGTTTAAAAACTTTAATTCAGTAAGAAACAATATTATAAAAGGAAGCTCTTGTGGACTAGTAACTTGTTGGGGATTGGGTCTGCGGAGCTGAAGTACGCTAGTTGTTGTTTCTTAAATGGGAAGCTTGACATACAAACTAGGTTCAAATATGTTGAAGAAAGAAAGGAAGACAGAGAGTGAGAGAGGGCCATTCCCAAAAGGAGGTCACTAGGAAGGAGGAGAGGCAAAACAAGCCGCAGGCTGGTCTAACAAGCTGGAACGCTGTCCTGCCAGCTTCCCTGAGATCCATCCCATAATGAATACGGAGGAGAAGGTTTATTTAGAATAGAGAGGCTTACAGGAAATCTCCCAGACACCTCCAAGGCCACTGGAAAACGTCAGATGGTTCACGCGGGGAAGGCAGCTGGTGTTTGCGACAACCAGCCTCAGCCTTTCCAAGGTGTGCTGCGATTGCAATCCTTGGAATCCTGGCTGGGAATTTAGCTGGAGAACCCCAGAAGAGGGAAGGGCGCCCCACCTGTGCATTCCCCCGGAACAGGTGGTAAAATTGCTCTCCAGCTTGCTTTATTTATATTTTTATTTACTTATCAAATTTATACGGCCACCCATCTCACAAAAAGGGACGCTGGGCGGCATACAACAATGAATAAAACAATAAATATATCAAAACAGACACTATTTAAATGTAACAAGGAAACAAAACACAAGGGGCAAGAGAGAGTAAACGTTAACCACAGCAATGGAGCCACCTCAAGATCTCACCGGTCCCCTGGGACCCCCCAGGTCTGATGACATAGCCAGATCTTGAGGGACTTCCAACATTAACATTAATTTATCATTTGGGAGATTTGTATCCTGCCACGCAAGACCTCGAGGGGGTCCCTCTAGTGCTCCCTCCTCCTCCAATTTTTCCCCACCATAACAAGGAGGTTGAGGTGAGAGAAGGACTGGCGCAAAGACCCCCAAGAAGCTTCCGTGGCAGCGCGAGGGCAAGAAGCAGGATCTTCTGAAGGCAACAAGGAAAAATAGGTCTCGCCTAGCTGGATTTTTACACAGGATTTTTTTTTTAATTATTTCATATAGACAACCCTTGATCAACGTTTCCAAAAGAAAAAAAGAAAGACGTTCTACTACATTCAACATTGTGCTCCACGCATATCCAAACATGAGTGAACATCTCCTTATTTTTGTCAGTAAAAGGGACTCCTTGAGTGACCAAAATAACTGCAAATCACCTCTTCGTTACTGTCTGTCACACAGGTAAGAGGTGATAAGAGTTGACAAGAGAAGAGAACTCGCCACCAAGGTTTAAGAGTTATCACATATTGTTGCCCAATGTCCAACAAAACTGAAAAAGGACACACTAACCATATTCCAGTCTCATTTCACAACTGATCCAAAAATCTATGTAAATAGTTGTGGAAGTACGTAGGAACAGGTATGGTGCTACCAGTTCAGTAAGACCACCTATCAATAAACAAACGTATTAACTCACAGCCTCAGTACAAAAATTCTTACAAAATCTGCTGAGGTAAAGGCAAAACCTCCCAGGGGGGAAAACAAATTAAAAACTCTGAACTTCACTAATGTGTTTGTTGATGAGGACACCAGTCCAGACTTAGCCATATCAGAAAGTCAGACACATTGGAGAACTATTGCCCCGCTATCTACAAATTTCATATGTACTTTCCCAGCCCAAAACACACACACACACACGCAGAGAGATATCTGCACGAGCACCACTGAGCCGGGAGAAAAAGCTGACCAGAACAGTCCACAAATCCCACAATGCTTTGCTTACAGATTAAAATAATTATTATAAAAGATAAAATAAAAACCGAGACAATACCAGGAAAGGGGGGGGGTATAATAAAGCATAGCCTTAGGCCTTTCGGAGGGATTTGAAGACCTGGCTCTGCCATCTGGCCTGGGGCAGGGAGGGAGG